AAACTCGTCGAATAACTTTAAATCGATAACGATTTGCACGATGACGAAGATTTGTTTTTCGATTGCGCATTTGTTTTTTGGTTAATGTTGTTGTTGTATCTAAATGATGGAAATTTCTTACGTGATTTTGTTCACTTGTAACATGAACTGTCATCTGTTGATTTGATGACTGTTCATCCTGATGTTGTTGGATATATCGTTGATTTGGTTGATGATAAAAATGAAGCTTCATAATGTCAGGTATCGATTGTGTATCCATATCATCATCAGGTGGAAGTTCAATAGATTCATGTCGTACATATAATGACTCATTGTAACGTGATTCATAGTATTCATTGTTGATTGGTCGAATCGGTTCAATATCTTCTTGTTGTTGATATGATGTTTCCTTCTCATTGGTTTCTTCTAGTTCATCTGTTACATTAACTATTAATTCGTCATATGTTGATGGTATATCAATTGATAATTCTTGTTGTAAATTTGTATTGTCTTCATCGTCAGAAATATCTTCATAATCATGTGTTGGTAACAATTTTATTCGATTTAATTTATAAGATAATTTGGTAACTGCAAAAACATCATTTATTGCATATTCTTTTAATATTGATCGATATTTTTTCTCTTCTTTAAGTCGATATGTACGTTCAGGACCAACTACATCTAATGGTAAATAAGTTCCTAATGCTAAATCAACACCACATGCCCATTCAGCTAATGTGGCTGTTTTATTTAAATATTCATTAAATTCATATTTAATAATTTTTTGTAACGCTGCTTGTTGATCACCACTGCATTCATCTTGTATATTATGTTCTCGAGTTTTTATATTTGTTTTAAATAGATTAAATGAATTTAATGTTTTAAGTTCGTGTAGTGCTGAACCCCATGAATAAATATGATTATTTAATGTAAATATTATTGTACATAGTTGTTGTATTTTTTTAAATAATGGAGTTATAACTGATGGTAAGTATTGGACTTCAATAATAATAATAATTGATGATAATGTTTGACGAATAAATTCGACTTGTAATGTTGCTGGTTTATGTGTTAATGCATCATTTTCGGTATCAATTGAGAAATGCTTTGTTGATTTTGCTTCATCAATTAATTCATCAATTATTGAAATATCAGTTTGTTTATGTATAAAATAACATT